AAAGATGTTTTGAAATAATCTTGTCTCTGCATAATTTAAAATATTACTAGGAAGCTAGGGTGGGGGGTGGGAAAAAAAATAAAATAAAATATTGCTAGATTAATTTGAATATGATGCTCGTTATATTAAATTACAAAGAACCTGCAGTAGTCAGGTGGTTAATAACACAAACTTAGTACTAAAGGCACATAACAGAACAAAATTAAGTCACAATTAATAAAGTGGAGAAATAAGACATGGTTACCCAGAAAATACAGTGGAAGTTGTTTTTTTTTAAAACAGGTTTAGCCTCCTTCTATTTGCGCTTTGTCCTGTTTGATCTGTGTTCTTTTATAGAGGACCGAATCTTCATGTTGGTATTGCTTTCTGAGAAATGTTGGCCCTTTCAAGTTAACATGAGCCCCGTGAGAGCACTCCTTCCTAGTCAAAGTAGCTAGCCATTCCCAACTTTAAAAATACTTGAATTAGGGAGGGAGGGGATAGAAAGGAAGGAGCAAATTCCAAGGGCTCAAGCCGAAAGAAAATACTTTGAAAATGATGATGGCAACATATATGCAAATTAGCTTGGTACAATTGATATATGGATTGTTATAAGAGGTGTAAGAGCCCCAATAAAATAGTTTAATAGTTTGGAAAAAAAAGAATTATATAAGCTCATTTTGCTTTTTTGTTTCTGGTATTTTCCAACCAAGAACCTGGATTTTTATAAAGTACCGTTAAGCTTGTGGAGTGCTACTTTTCAATAAGCATATACATTACTGTCTTTGTAGAGACATTTGGGGGTTACACTTGGGTATCTATGCTGAGTTTGATTTTTTTTTAGTTTGATTTCTTTAAATCAAAATAAGAATCTCATACTTTTTTGTACATATTTAAAACTATAAAGTGTTATAGTAAGTTAACTGAGCTGTAATCTTTCATTTTTGTTAGTTTTTTTAATGCAAATCTTAGTAAATTATTGCTTGGGTATCAGGGAGTGGACAGAGCAGTAATTTGCTTATTTTTCTTTGAATATGTCCTTTATAACTTAGATTATAAATATTGACTTGTTATATACACTATGCTATAATTTCATATGTAACTATTAACTGGAGATGAATATGGCTAGACTATAGAGTCAAGATAGTCTGAATTTTGTTTAATGGGGTAAAGAGAATCTGACTCAAATATTTGCGTTTTAATTTGTCACATATCTTGGTTATCAGTAGTTTTTTTGTTTTTTGTTTTTTGTTTTGGTTATCAGTAGTTTTGAGATACTTTTTTACTAATCTGGTCTAGATAGTTAGTTGCCTAATAAATGACTTTTGATATAGCAATTAAGTATTTGTATATTTATCTGTCCATGGTTTGTTTAAAGACTGTTTTCAAGAAGATGTAAAAATTAGAACATTTTAGAAGTCTGTTTGTTTTTTAAAGTTTGATGCATTTCTTATGCTATAAGGATTTTTTACACTTGTCCTAATGTGGGATGTTGTTTTTATTCCAGAGGAGTCAAACACAGTCTCCAACGCCACCAAAACCTCCATCCCCTAGCTTTGAGTTAGGGCTCTCCAACTTCCCTCCTTTGCCTGGAGCTGTAGGCAATTTAAAGACAGAGGACTTATTTGAAAACAGGCTGTCTAGCTTGATAATAGGATCATCAAAAGACAGGGTAAGCTGCATATGACAAGAAAAATTACATTTACAAAGCATTCACTTACTGGGCACTTTGCCAAGCTCTTTGCATACATTACATTCTTAATATGCAGGGGAAGGGAAACCAATGGTGTAGGTAATATTACCCTGGGATTACCGATGAGACTTATATGTTAAGTGATGTACAAAAGTGACATCGATTTTGAGTAGTAAGGCCAGTTGAACCTAGGACTCAGATGCTCTGTAGTCGTGGTTTAATAGAGTTTTGGTTAGGTTGGTGTTTATTAATTTTAAAGGGTAAAAAACTCATGCGGTAATCTGTTGTGTAGATTCTTCTTCTCATCCAAAGTATCTATTTAGCTGAGAAAAGAGGCTTGCAAATCATTACAATGGAAGCTAATATAGAGGGGAGGGCCTGAAGCATGAGAATCATTAAATATTTGCTGATTGGAAAATGGACTGAGAAATCTGTAGGCAAAAGGACAAACTTGGAATCTCTGGCATTTTTGCTAGAGAAGGTCTTCCCAAGTTATGTGTTTGTTTTATTTTTCTGCCTTTATTATGCTGTCAGGTAACAACTTTGCCTGTTCTTCTAGGGTTGAGGTGGGTGCATGTATCTGACTGTCAGCTGCATTCAGCAGTAGGCAAGAGCAACTAACCTTTGTTTCACCAAAAATGAGACCTACAAAACAGTTTTAGCAGGTGGTTTGGGGATCTCCAAAACTTGTATTAAGCAGAACATGTATTTTTTGATCACCGTATTAAGATCATTATGAAAAAGATCTTCACAGTGTCATAAACATTGCTGTTTTCATTTTTAGAATCTAAATGTGGATGCAAGTACAAACACTATTCCTGCAGTAATCCCCAGAGAGCCCTCAGTGCCCATTTCTTGTGCTGTATCAGCAACATATGAACAATCTCCTTCCCCAGCCCATTTACCTGAGTAAGTAATAGTCTACAAATGCTTTGTATCTACTAATTTTCAACTATTTGTCATGGTTCATGAAATTCAAATCGTGGGTGCTGTTTTTACAGCGATTCCAAGATTATAGAGAAGCAGAGGGAAACACAGAGTATGGAAAGACTTTCTTCTCCTCTTGCTACTACTGCATGTAAATCAGTACAAGTTAATGGAACTGCCACAGTACGTAACTAGTGCTTATTTTCTTTTAAATCACAAAATCTCAGGTATGATAAAAAGATACCTAACTCTCCTTTCTGTACCAGCTTATTTTAATAAAATCTAATTTGATGGGTTTTCTTTTGTGTGTGTGCCTTGTGTTGTGTTTTCTGTAAAAAATACCAAGAATATCTGTTAATAATTTTTAACTATTCTCATTGTTTCTCAGCATCACAGCCATAGATACCTTTTGTTCCCAGTACCCTTTGGTAGAGGTTATGTTTTGAGTAGTTAACAAGATTCCAGTTCCGGCTCTTATACTGACTTATGCAGTCAGTTAAATATTCACCATAAGTATTGTGTTTGTAATAAATACAAAAATGAAGACTAACACTTACTAGGCACTTTGCCAAGCTCTTTGCATACATTATATTTTTAATACGCAGTGATAACCTATGGTAGGTGGTATTACAAAATAAGATGGGATAGTACTATAACCATTCCTCCTTATCCCACAGTTATTTTAAGAATAAAAGTACACTGATCATTCTATGGTACATTTCAGTTTTTTTAGTGTGTTAATGTTACTGTGGTAAAATACTTATAACACAACCCTTGCCACGCTATTTGTCAATGTACAATTCAGTGACTTAATTACATTCACTGTGTTGTGTGACCATCCTATAATCCACCTCCAAAACCTTTTCATCACCCAAAATAGATGCTTAGTCTCCATTAAGCAATAGCTCCCCATTCCTTTTCCCCCAGCCCCTGTAACCCTTTTGTTTCTATGTATTTGAATATTCTAATAGTTCATCTACGTGCTATCATAAAATATTTGTCCTTTTGTGTCTGATTTAATAATGTTTTCTGCAGTTCATTCATATCATAGCATGTATCATTACTCTATATGACTGCGCAGTAGTAATCTCTTAAATGTGCAATAATTACTGATAAGGAAGAACTTACTCTGCTAAACATTTTGCTACTTGTGTTCTCTGTCTTCTGTCTTTTTCATCCCGCATTTCCTCCCCTACTGTCTTCTTTTGTGCTTGAGTTTTTGTAATGAACCATTTTGAGTCTCATTTCCTTTGTGTAAATGTTTAAGAGAGTGCCCTTGTATTGCCATGGAAACTACACTGGCAGTCCTAAATTCATAACAACCTAGTGTGAATTGACACCGATTTACTGGCATACAGGAATTTATACAGAGTACCCTGCCTCCTTAGGGGGTTGTCACTGACTGCATCTTTATATAGTGTGTGCTGTAGTGTTTCTAAAGTGTTTTCAATCTGCACTTTTTACTATTTTCTTTTTTAAATGCTGCTTGTATTTTACCCTCCAGTTCTTGACTCTTTAAGTTCTAAATTCTAATTCTACACCCCCCACCCCCCTTTCTGGCACTTTATCTTTTTTGGTAAATGAAACTTTAGTTTAAAAGAACAAAATCTTTTGTTATTGCCCTCATTTTGGTATTTGAGTGAGAATTTTATTTGGGATATAAACCTTTGTTACCCATAGAGTTGAATATTCATAAAGACAAACCTAATTTTCAAAATGGTTTTTATAGCTGAAATATATTTTTTAAATTTCCCTTTTCCTCTATTACATAGCATTCGGGTTTCACTCACCTGAAGCCCCTCTAAAACTGTTTTGTATTAAGTACTCACAGGAGACCATGTCATTGCTATGGGACTAACTGGTAAGTTTGAAGGACAGGTGGGACAAGAAAAAGGCTTGCTGTTGTATCATTTCTAGAAAAGGACGCATTTCTAGGATTATCACTTTTGTTTCCTTAGGCTTCAGTAGAAGAGCTCAAGAGTCTTTAAAGACCTAAATGCTGCCAAGAGTTTATTTACCATTTTTTATAACTACGTTATCTAATATTATTCACTTTTAAAATGTATTTCTAGAATATCTTGTGGAGAAAGTTGTGGTGCTGGAGAAGAATCTTTGTGAATACAACATTTTAGTAAAATTTATTTTTTATTTTATTATTTTTTAATTTGGGCCTTAATTGAACTTCATTTTCCCATGTCTTCACTGGAGACATTGTGTATGCATGTAATTTCAACATTTTGTGTTTCCCAGGAATTGCGAAAACCTAGCTACGCAGAGATTTGTCAGAGAACAAGTAAAGAGCCTCCTTCTTCCCCATTGCAACCCCAAAAAGAACAAAAGCCAAACACTGTCGGTTGTGGGAAAGAAGAAAAGAAACTCACTGAACCAATGGAGAGATACAGAGAACCCCCTCCCCTGAAGTCAAATCCAGGACAACCCAAAGATCAGAGAAGGCAGTTGGGGCGCAGATCCCCGCCTCCAGCCACTGGGAAGCGTCTAAGTAGAGAACAGAACACACCGCCCAAGTCTCCTCAGTGATGTGTACGCCTGGGAGGGCTTGCAGAGGCCGTTGTCTTCTGTGGAACTGCATTGAAGCACTGTTCCCACTCAGTACAGAGAGTGAGTTGCTGGTTAGGGGCTTGCAGTATATAAGGCATGTGAAATGCCTACAAGTTATTTTTCTTCTGTGAGTTGGAATTCCCTGTCTTGAAAAAAAAATCTACTTTTCAGGATTTAATTAATATAAACCTTATTTTAGGTTGGTGCTTAACTGGAGGTGATGCATAAGTGATTTTTTTTTTTTCAGGATAGAACATGCATTTATTCCTACAAATTGATATTTTTTATTAGGTCTCCATATGGCTATGAATGCAAGCTATATATAATGAGTTTTTCTAAATTAAGTGGAACTATGCTACATTTTTTTTTAGTAACTGGTTTGCAAGTATATATCTCTAAAATGTCAACAAATTGATGAGAGCTGATGACAGCTAGTCTTGTGAGTGCAAAATTAGTTTTTGTAAACATGACCTTCAGAAAGGAGTAGTGTTGGATTGTTGACACATAACCTGGCCACAGGTAATTCTAGGATGCATTTTATGTTTTCAGTACAACTTTTCTCTTGTATCTGGGCAAAATGAACCTGCAGAGAGCACCATAGACAGAGCAGTCTCAAACATTGGCGTTTTCGTGTACTGCAAGCAAGCAACCAGCTTCTCACTCCACTTTCAAATGGCTATTGTGTAAAATAAATTCAAAGCACATTGTTAATAGAATTTCAATGGAAATATAAACTTTCTTGCCTATTGACATGTTACCACAAAATTGTACCATAGTGTTGTTTTAATAACTTGTGAGTTGGTGCACTTCTGTGCTGGCAAGGAAGGTGATAAGTTTCCACGTACTTTGTGGTTTTCCCTCTACCTAGTGCTCATGCCCTATTATAGATTTCTGTCCTCGTTTCCCCCAACTACTCTTTGAAAGAGTCCGTATTTTAGTCAACTCTGTGTTGGCGTTTTCTGTACCTCTGCATTGGCACATGGATTTAAAAGGTATTTACTGTGAGAGAATGCTGTTTGTGTTCCCCAGCCCACCCCACCCCTTTTGGTGGTAGAGGATGAAAATCCCTGCGCTCGTGACCTCCAAGATGAGGTTTCATTGATTCGCTTCTAGAAGTGCTACACTTCTGGAGAACAAGGATGCACTAAATTTAGCAAGTTTCTAATAAAGTTAAATATAAATTATTTTGTTTTAAAATGCCTAAAATTTTCTTTACATATTCTAAGCAGCAGACATTAAAATAAGAGTATTTCCTGCTAAATGTAACCATACAGTTTATTCCACAAAATGTTATTTAACAAGACTGAGTTGTTTTTTGTTTTTTTGGGTTTTTTTGTAAAGAAAATATTTCCATCCAATATTTAAAGACTTGAATTTTATTTAAACTTGAAAATGACTTTGCCTTAACTTTTGTATAAGACAGCTTAGAGTTCAAGGAGACCGGCCCCCTGGGTTGGCGGGAGTGGATTACAGAGTTACTCAGTTAACTGTGTAGATCTGTCGTTGCTAGTCTCACTGAGTAAGCAGACTGGAGTACAAGAGCTAGCAGTAGTTTTTGTAATATACCATAAAGATCTTAAACAGTTGATCTTTTTTCAAATTGTTGAAAAATCCTGTAAATGCAAATAGTCGATACTGTATTAAATATGTGCACTTGGAAGTGTGTGCTTTGCTTGTACAGTTGTAAATAATCAGAACATATTAAAAAGGTACCCTAAAGAGAAAAATCTGATAAAAATTATTGATATATTATAAATGTTGCTGTTGAGCTGGATGTAGATAAACTAAATGTTGTGGTTTGAATATTTTAATTTGTTCGGGTTTTTTCCTTTTCTTTTTCTCTTATATTGGTGTGTTGAACTGATTCTGCCTCTTTGCTGCAAAAGGAAAATGGAAAGTCTTATTAAAAGCTTTCAAAAGTTTTATCTCGTGAAAGGACTTTGAAGGTATAATAGAAAGCAGAAACTGCCAGTATCTTTAAGTAATTAAAAAATAATCTCTTGATTAAAATCATATAACTAAGCATTATTTTACCCTGCCAGAGGAAAGCATACCCTAATGCGTTTTGATCACATTTCCTCAAAGCAGTGGTCATTATTTAAATATCTTGTGCTAATAATTTCAAATGCCTGTAAAAGGAACATGGGAATTTGCGTCTTTGTAGTTGTCAGATTACTGACTAAAAAAAATCAAATAATTGACCTTTTCATCCCAAACTAATGAATACTGTACAGTTGGAAAGGTGAGCTCTAAGACCTGGTAATGACTAATGTACTCTTTGCTAGAGGAGGAAACACGATGTTGTCAGCCATTGTCATCACCAGAATGACAAATCCTGGTGAGGGCAAGTCATTGGTTTTTAACAATGACAGATCGCTTTCCCTGAAGGCAGTGAACATTGCAGCTTGATTTGTATATGGATAAAGCCAGCTGTAGTTTCGTGCTTTGTTGGCTGAAAGTAAAGCTCAACAGCTACAAACAGGAGGGGAAAAAAGGTGGTTACGTGTAGTAGCAACAGTGTACAGCTAATCATTAGAGTGCACTGGTACATTATAAGATAATATATTGAGACCAGCAGGGTGTTGTGCTGTTCTAATGTATTCTGCTGCCATTTGTACTAGGTCAAAACACTGTAATTACTGCTTTACCTAGCAACAGTCCGTTGCATCAGGCGTTAAAACCTAGCTCTGACATGATTTTTTTAAGCATTCTTTTTAATTAAGCAAAAGTGATATGCCAAATCGCTATATAATGTCAAAAACAAAACGGAACAAAAAATTTTCCTTCTGCTATTATTTTGAGATTTGCCCCCCACACACAGACACACACAATGGGAGATCTCACAAGAGAACACTATGGTGGTGTATGCAGTGTTGCTGCTTGACATACAGCTAGTAATATGTGGGTTGCATCTTTTAAAAAAAAAAAAAAAGGCTAAATCTTTCCTTTCCCCCAGTAGTATCTCACATTATAGAATTAGAGATAACGGCAATCACCAATGACATTTTAACTTGTAAAATTGTGTGGTGGTACTTACTATTTAAAAATGTAAGAATAAGAATCTGACCCTGTTTCACCAGAAATGAATTTAAAGTAGAATAGTTGCTTTTTCAGAGTTAATGTCATGATGTTTCTGATTAGTCCCTCCTATAATTGCATCACTGTTTGTCACTAGCCGGTGGCAAAGAACTTTTTATGTTGATGTATTATCTGTCAAAATGTATTCAGTTTACATTTTAAAACTGGTTCAATTTATCACCAGGGCAACAGATGACTAACGGTGCACACCTATCTTTGTATCTCCATTCAGCTGTAGTCGAGGGTTTTATGTGCTTTGTAACCTATCACACAGAAAGCAGCAGACAATCGAAGATTTAAGGAAAGGTAACAGCTGCCAAGTTACAAAACGGGCAAAATGTGGAAGCTTTCTTGAAGGTTTTAGATTTTGTTCTATTTCGTTTCATTAAGACTGGAATCAAGCTTACATGTAAACTATTGGTAATTTAAGTTTCCTTTGTGTCATTCATTGTAAAACTGTCTAATTTGAAAATGTAGGTTTTGAAAAATAAAGATTTAGGCACTGTTCAGTTTTTCTTTTGATTTATTTTAATTCAAAATTTCTCCACGAATGAGTATTTTTAAAGTATTTTCTGTTTCCATCATTGTATATGCATTAAAAGGAAAAATCAGGGTGCCTCAAACCTGTTTGAATACTAAAGGCTTAATATCCCCATATGTAAGTTTAAGTACAGTTTAATAGTTTCCCTAGCTGCCTTACTGTTTTAAGGTAAGGTAAGCCTTAGAATCAAGTATTCATGAGGACATGTTTAATAAGTTTAAGATTTGCTATAAAAATAAATGTATCCCTGTCAGGATTTTTTACTATAATTGTAATAAAATGATAGTACTCTACTTAAAGTCATTTAAATTGTTGCTGGGTCATCAGGATTTTCAGATCATGAATGAAACTTGGTAGGAGGGAGTCTCACACACACATAATTAACTGATCCTTAAATGCAGGGGTCCTCAAGCGTTTTAAACGGGTCCAGTTCACTGTCCTTCAGACCCGTTGGAGGGCCAGACTATAGTTTTAAAAAAAAAACTATGAACAAATTCCTATGCACACTGCACATATTTTAATTTGAAGTAAAAAAGCAAATGGGCAAAAACACCCGGTGGGCCGGGTGAATGTCCTCAGTGGGCCGTAGTTCGGACTCCTGCTTAAGTGCACGTGATGGCAATACTAGTAAGTGGCGGAAGATGGAGCTTCTCAGACTGTTACTTAGTGGACAGGTGGTCTTGGTTAATGTTGGTTCTCTTCTCGGCATTGCGTTTTCATACTCCTTTCCCAGTTTCTACTGGGCTGCCTTTTTATTAACAGATTGCTATTCTTTGTAATATATTTATCTTTCGTATGATGTATATGCAACAATGTTTTCTGAAAATCAGCCAGTTGCCTTAGCTTTACTTAGATTATCTTTTATTTTACAATTTTAATTGTTATATAGTAAAATTTTAACTATATAGTAATGCTTATCTGCCTTTATAGTTCAAGCTCTTTGGTCTTGTTTAAGAAGTCTCGTTTCTTCAGAGTCCTGAAGATAACTTCCTTCATGCTACATAAGTATGTAGGTCTTGAATCCATCTAGAATTGGGTGTGTGTGGAGGGGGTGGGGTGAGGTCTGAGATAGTCTTTCTGTACTGAGACCATAGCATTTAATGAGTAATTCTGTGTTGCTAAAAATTTTTCTTTGTAGAACTCATCACAGTTGTAATTAAATATACTCCGTGTTGCCCATCTTGGTTGTTATACTTTCTGTTCTTAGTATGCTGTCAGCTCAATAAATATGTGTTAAATAAATTATGTATTTATTGAGTATGTAGTCTCTACAGAGCACCGGCCTAAGAAGTCTATGAAGAAGTAGGGTGATTTGTATTGATTTGTTTTTGCATAAGCATTCTAAATCTCAGTGGCTGAAAATGATAACCACTTACTACTCATGTGTTTGGATTGGCTCATGTTAGGCTGAGAGTGGCTGCTAATCTTGGCTGGGCTTACTCACAGATCTGTGCATTGATGATGGGGTGTAGGGTTGGCCCTAGGTTCACCCTGTGTTTAGCTCTTCACCACATGTCTCTCCAATTTGGATTAGCAGGTTAGCCAAAGCATGTTCTTAGGGATGTGGAAAAGGTGCAAGAGACAAACTCTAAATATTTATCTTTGTTTTCACCCAGAAAAATTTTACTTGCTCTCTTTATTGGTATAGCCCTGTCTTACTCTATTAAAATACGTATCGCAAAAAAATGCCACTCATGTTCAATCCAGTGTGAGTAGCTACGTTCACCATGTTGTGCAACCAACCATTTTTGCCTGTTCCCTTCCAAAAGGTCTTCATCACTCCACGTGGAAACACTACCCCTTGAGCAGTGATTACCTATTCAGCTTCCCCTTAATCTTTGTCTCTGCATTTTCCTATTCTAGAGAACTTCATAAGAGTGGGACTATATATATCTGTCCTTTCTGTCTATATGGCTGAAGTATATACTGCACATCTGTACCACATTTTGTTTATCCAACTATTGATGGAGGTGGTTTTTTGACTGAGAATAATGGTGCAGTGAACACTGGTGAACTAGTATCTGAATCACTGCTTTCAGGTTGACTGGGTACATACCTAGAAGTAGAATTGCAAATCAGAAGATAGTTTTCTCTGTTGATTTTTTCACAACAGCTGCACCATCTTATATCCAGTCAGCCATGCACAAGAGTTCCTATTTTTCTGCCTCCTCGCCAATACTTGGTTTCCATTTTTCTGATCCCAACCATCCTCATAGAGAGTGAAGTGGTGTCTTACTGTATCTTTGCTTTACATTTCCCTAATGACATTGAGCATCTTTAAATCTTTAGGAAAAGTGTTCATTTCTTTGCACATGTTAAATCAGGATTTGTTCTTTGTTGAATTGTAGGAGTTATGTATATATGATATTAAACCCTTATCAGATACGATTATCACATTTTCTCCATTCTCCTGTAGTTCATCTCTTGATAAGGTCTTTTGATACACAAAACTCCTTAGAAAATCCTATTTATTTTTCTTCCTCATCATTTTGATTGTCATATACTGTACCCCATTATTTTTATGACTCTTAGAAGAATAAGAACTTTCCCTAAATTTTGATCATTTTAAAATCGTTTTAATAGGTAAAATAAATATTGGCAGGTTGTCCTACATTGTCAAGATCAGTCAGACTCTCCTGATCCAAGTAAACTGTTGGTCTACTTAGATTAGCATGTGAGGGGGTACCCAAAGAAAACCCAGCTGATGTAAGAGAAGAGCGTTGTGCTATGAAATTTTGCTTCCTGCTCGGGAAAAATGCTACGGAAACTCTTGTGATGTTGAATACAGCTTACAGGGACAGTGCTAGGGGAAAAACGCAAGTCTACAATTGTGTTTCTCATTTCAAAAAAGGTGAAATGTTACACAATTGATGTGATAAGAGTTGTATGAGCCCCTAATAAAATGATTTTTTAAAATCTCATCAAAACTATAAATTATCTGAAATCTTGCAATGTTTACTTATAAGGAAATGTCAGATACATTAACAATAAAAATAATGCAACAAGTAAAAAAAAAAGGTGAAATGTCAATTGATGACAAACCTCGTTTTGGACATCCAAATGGACAAAAATGTCAACTCTGCATTTGGAGTTCGTTCCACCTGGTCAGAATGTTAAGCTTTCTATTTAGAGGTTCTGAAGTGATAGTGCAACCGTGAGCAACAAAAAAGGCCTGGTTGTGGCGGATGGGGGACTGGTTTTGCCACCACGACAATGCACCTGCTTATGCAGCCATCTCTGTGTGCCACTTTTTGGCCAAAAATTCAGCATGCCTCTCTTTCCCCAAACACCTTACTCACCTGACCTCATTCCATGTGACTTCATTCTTTGAACAAAGAACAAAATGTAGAAGAGGTGAAGAAGAAATATGAGGGGGGTGGCTGTCAGCCATCCAAACGGATTTGAAAAATGATTTCAAGAATGGAATCTTAGCTTTGACCAATGTATTAGGTGTAATGGAGAGTACTTTGAAGGTGATATAGGTGGGGTTTTTTTTCGGGGGGGGGGAATGTAAATATATAGTGCTTGGTGGGGGGTGAAATTCCAGTTTGGGGGGGGTACCCCCTTGTGGAGATTTTTTATTTTAAAAAAAGTAAGGATCCCATGAAGAGGTAAGGCAGTAAATCAAAGGGGAGGAGATGCATCAAGGGTACTTAAGTGACTTCTTCAGGACATTATTGGTAAAACCATGTTTCACGTGGCAAAGTTCTTACAAGAGATCCTTTAGGATCTTGATCCTACTTAAGATTTCCATCAAAAGCTCTACTCTGCTGCTGACCTGGGCACAGTAGTATGGCACACAAGCAGAAAGTGTTCAGCCTTAGGTTTTCAGTCAGAATTGTATACACTAGAACCAGGTTAGATGTCTGATATTGGTTATCACTGCTGTCAATCATTAGGCCATGAACAGGATTGTGCCCTCACAAATTAACACGTGTTGTCCAGTTAGTTGTTTCATCTTCAATATTGCCCCATCTGTTCATTAAACAAATCATCCAATTGTAAACTGCTAATTTCTTGATTTCAGCATTCCACTAAAGCACCATACATAAAGTGTATTCTTCAAATTTCGCAGAATTCATGTCGCTGTGAATAGGAGCATCGACCATCTTCCAGCTGATGCCTTATCCTTTTTAGTGTCTCCGACTAGACCCTGTTCAGACAGGCTTTAACAAGGTAGCTGTCATTGGGTTGGTTCCGACGGCGATCTGTACAGCAGAACAAATCGCTGCCTAGTCCTGCGGCGCCGCACAGTCGTTTTCACGTTTAAGCCCATCATTGCGGTCACTGTGTTAATTGCATCTTGTCGAGGGTCTCCACTCTGACTGCCATTCTACCAGGCATGATTTCCAGGGACTGGTCTGAAAAACCTGTTCAAAGTACTTGACCGTCTCACCATCCTTGTTTTCAAGGAGCATTCTGGCCGGACTTGCAAGACAGACGAGTGTTTTGGCAGCTAATGGAACTAGCACCATAATTATTCTCTGTGCTTCCGTATTTGGTGTCCCAACTTACACGTTCCTGTAAAGCAATCGAGAATACCGTGGTCAGGGAGCCTCAGTCCGCAAAAGGTTTGCTTTAACTACACTTTAAAGAGGTCTTGGCTGAACTCCAAACATTGGTAGAAGACAACTATTATGAGACACCTACTGAATTGGAGTTGGGATCTCACATGGCATTTTCTATTATAAATGAATATCATGGCCTCAGCTAGCATTGGACTCCATGGGTGCCAATTTAAAATATTGCACAAAGATCAGCTATCTCAAAGTGCTGGTCTTTCCATCCATCTTTCAAGCCAGAATGAAGCAAGTGAAGATAATTTTATGGAACAGATTGTAACCAGGAACAAATCTGGGACTTTGAACATGATCAAGACTAAGATTCAATCAAATCAGAGGCTTCCGTGGAGATATGCTGGGCCAGTTCAAAGCAGGTCAGCTCAGAAAGAGGGCAATGATTGGAGGA